ATTAAAAGAATTGATTATCCCAATAATCTCATACAATATTTCATTCAATAATAAAAATAGGTGCGTTATATCCTAGGAAAATAATATATTATAAGTAGGTTGTTTTGTTAGCAGCCTCGAGTAAACGGTAGAACAAGTAGTGAATGAGTCCACAGCCATTTAAAATATTAATGCATATGACTTCAAAAACTATATTTTATTGCATGAGAGAGGGAGAATGATTCATGAATTAATTTAAATTATCCCATTTCTATGTGATTCAAATATTTTAATATATCTAATTTAAAATCTTTTTTAAACTGTCATCTTCAATAGATTTGGAATGAAATTGGATAAACTTTGAATATGATTATCAACTTCTTGTTTTACGAGTCACATCTTTTCCATCAAACAAATTCACCATTGTTGTCATGTGAAGGTCCTATAATTTTTTACTTGTTTGGATTCTAGTAACAATAGTTGACACTATCTATAAGAGAAAAAATGTTTGCTGGTAAAATTTGCTAGTCAGATCAAGGATGAGAAGATGATGAACAGGATCTGTTGTGTTCATACTTCCTGTATTGTTTTGTATGTGTTTGCATATCTAATCTCAACTGGGGAGTGACTTACTGAGTATTTTATAAAATACTCAAGGCATCTACTACCTTAGTTTTTAAGGTAAAGGTAAGGCTCCTATGCTCGGATGACTAACGATGAACGCCGAAAAAGTCATGAAAGTCAAATGGGGCATAATAGAACAGTTGAATGTTTTGAAATTTAAATTAGTAGATGATAGGTCGAGTCGGATTTCAATCGGTCGTTGTTTGGTGTTTTTCTAAAGTTTGGTTTACATTTAAAACTATGTTTGGTTGAATTTCATGTTTTGAACTAATTATGCTAAGACTATGACTTTATTTTAAAGATGTTTATTATGAATTTTCACATTTTTGTTTTAAGCATGCATGGGTTAATTAGGTTAAGAAAATTAGGGGCATTATAGACCATTATCTCCAATCACGCAGAGTTCTACGAGACCCCTATTCCTCTTTTAGGTGGGATGTCCTGCCCTATGTGTCATGAGTATAATGTTATGAATGACCTCCAATTTTTTTCACCTAGATGAAATGTCCTGCATTAGGATTTACTAATAGGATGTCACAATCATAATAGTACCACTCATGTGTTAACGGGGAGAGAACTAAAGGTTACTTTAGGAAATAGTTTTCAAGATCAGTAAATGACATGTAACAAGATAAGCGTCGAAGTTCCTAAAAACTCAATAAGAGTTAAGGTTGCCATTAAGAGCCTACCAGTAAATACATCTAAATTACATTAACATTCCCATACAAAATTGTTTTAAAAGGGTTAGTTTGCAAAGGAATATCATAAATATTCAAATACAAAATCAAGTAGAGGAGAGATTATATACAACTCGAATTTAGTGGTCCCCTACACCAACATTCCCGAACGCTCCTGTAGTAAGTAGCCAATTGCGTCCTATTATTTATGTTATGATATCTTAATGAACTATGTGATGCATGTATTTTTTTTTTTATGTTTTTATTATGATACTATGTTGATCTGACCATTTTTATGTCTGGCGAAACATCATGATGTACCATGTATGATAAGCATAAATAAAGTTACATGAATATGTATGTACACCTCAGAAAGAATTTACATCATAATAAATATGGAAGTATTATATGTATCATCTCATTGAACCATGATTTTAATATAGGACTTCGTGCATGATGTGTGTCATATAATCATAAATTATTTTTAGCATGCTACACATAGGCACTTATTCGTGTTCTTTTTTTTTCGTTAGTGTTCAGTAGTGCGAGACTGCACTAATCCATAGTCAGACTTGAAGGGAATTGTTGGATGCATTGTTCCAACGACGTAGAAGTTCCTCATGCAAGCGTGTTCCAACGGTATAGAAATTCCTCGTGCAAACCTTTAATTGTAGCATAAGATGACTTGGAATACAAAATACATCTTGGAACACCCTCATGCAAACCACACGTTTGGAACGTCCACATAACATGACTTAATTAAATGTACAATTAGGCTCCGTTTATGTAAATTGATATTTTTTTCCGAACCACTATAAACTATTTTATGCTTACTAATTAAGATAAATGGAGCAATTAATAAGAAAATGGTATAATGGAGCAATTAATAAAAAAAATGACTTGTATGAGTGCAAAATTGACTAAAAAAAAAAAAAACTACTTTTGTAGAGTTATCAATGACCTATCCTTCCCTGTTGAGCTTTGATTTCTAGTCGGAAGAGGGATGAATGTAGAGTACTTCCTTACTCATGGCTCACACATGTGCACATGACGCATCAAGCGGGTTCATATACATACCCCTAGGTCTGGCTCATCAGGCTAGCACATGCTCACACTATTAAATGCGATGAAGGGTAAGGGCTTACATAATATCATGGCGAACATAGATATTGTAAGATATGCATTCATACTAAACATAACGGGAAAGTATCCCGATGCATATGTCATACAAAATGCATGAGGTCCCATAACATTAAAACATGACATATATTCTTGATGTTAGTCATACCTCCATTCTTTTCTTGACATACCGTTTCTATGAGACATATATATGTGATACTTTTCATATTATTTATGATTAACATACATGGCTTTCCTGAGACATTGAGGGTACATATTAACATAGTTTACATGACGTGGTACAATAAAGTTCCTGCATCATAAAACATCGCTTAACATAGTTTCATGATATAACATAATCATATTATAGTATAATTGATAACATAACATATATCATAGCATAAACATAACATAACGCACGTCAATCATAAAACACAACACGTGCAGGGTCTACATGACAAGTGTCGTTCGTACAACAAACAAGTCATCCAACCAAGCCAACATGCAGTAACAATCTCTATCCATCTAAATTCAAATTGAATCCTTTTCCATTTTTTAAGATTAAATTTCAAGTACATTTAATTATTCAACAAGTTGGAACAACAAAAAAAAGAATAAAAAAATGATTTCATACATTCTTGCTCATAAGAACGAGCAAACATAGAGCAATAGGTAGAAAACTTGACAAGATTAGTAACGTCCAAAACATTAGAGTTAAGTGTACAAAGACATTACTAAATTAAACACAATATCGAAGCTATCTCTTAAAATAGAAAAATAGGCGATATGTTCCACAAAATTAATTGCAGCATTTGAAAGGAATCTTGTTAGAATATTCGGATATATTTATTTGGAAAGGTCATACTCATAGGAAAATGAAACACAATATAGAAGTTTATCCTGAGAAAGAGCCAATTAAAGCTTCCTAACCCTTAAAAGTATATACCATAGCAGACGACTTGGGAGCAAAAGAATAATGAAACTGTGATGTCTTAGAATCTTTCATTGTCAAAGATACCCATAGCCCCCACTTGGATCTAATGGTCTCAAATATATATATAACTTTTTTGAGAGAGAAAGGGGAAATGGTCCCTTGGGACAACCAAAAGCCAATTCGCCAAAATGGCTCTTTTTATTCATAAAATAACATTTTGGGTTTGATTTTAATGAGGAAGAGAGATTATCCATATGGGAATATGTCCTAATTGGAATAATAATTAAACCCTTTGTATCCACTTTTGGGGAACGTGCATAGGAAGACAAATCAGCTATATTTTAATATTATCAAACATGTTGGAATCAATTTAATAATTTTAAACTATGGGCCTAAACCTTTTTTATTTTAAAAAAATATTGATACCAGTTAAGTCGTATCCATATGTTAACTTTGATTGAATTGAGGAAACTCTGAGGTCATATCACTTTATGACGAATCTTTCACCCATGCAAATGGGTAAAAGGTAGCAATTTAAGATGATGAGAATAATAAGAAATAAGAAGAAGAATAGATCCATAAGAACTGAACAACATCTTCAAAGTTAGGGGACAGCCTTTGTTATGAAACAGACTACAGAAAGCTTCTTTTGTCCATTGCCAAACCCAATCTGGACGTTAACGCAAAGGCACTCATTTCTAGGACTGACTTTCTTTTCTTTCTTTGGATTTTTTTTTTTAAAATTAATTGGTTTTTGTATTAAATTGGTCTCTAATTTTTTTCAATTTCAATAAATTATTGTACTTAGTTATAACTTATACTCTTAGATTCATTTATTTTATTATGTCTTACCTTTCGTAACAAATTTGTTTTTTTTTTTTTTTTTTTTAAAGTTT